AAGGTTGTGCGATTATAACTTGATAATTGCTTACATTTCAAAAATGACTTGAACAAATACGTGAGTTCATCTCTGCAGTCTAGCGTCCATACATCACTGTTTCGTTGGTTCTTTGTATATATATGTCAACTGCAATTTGTGTTGAAACATGAAGAATACAGGAATGATGGATCAATTCCAGAATTTTGGACAACAAAGGATAACTCATTAGATTACCGTCTATCCAAAATAAAAGATGTTTTAGTTTTTAACACAATAGTTAAGAGAAAGAATGGAACAAAATGGCCACTTATTAAGGCCAAAACGGGAACAGAAGATCAGAGGAATCAACACACCGGCAATGTAACAGCCTTTGTCTCAAACGAAAACAAGAAAAGGAACAGCCGAGAGCTGAGTGTGTAACAATACCGAGTTACTTGTAGAGGAATGCACCTCTAGGCTCTAGCTACAATCTCAAAAGGCCTGAGATGGACAGTAGGTTGACAGCTGAGTGTGTGTTAAATGTGCCCAGAACTCCCGCAAACACAAGCAAAACTGGATATAAGTAACATATGCATTTCTCAGGCTTCAGAAATCTCGGCAAGCTGTAGCTGGCACCAACGGTATATTGGCAAGCACACCAAGCACAAAGTGCTAAGACTCTTGACTTGTCGCTGACGCATCTTCTTGGCTAGAAGGGGCATCTGGAATACTGGCGGAGGGGCCTTGTTTCCTTTCTGCCTGTAGTGATCGACACAGGGATTCAAGCTTCTCCTTTTGATTTTTCAATTTCTCTATTTGCTTCTTCGTTAGCTCACGCTGCAGAGGCATCGCAAATGGGTCGAAGTTAGCAAATACCACTTATATAATGCAGGATCAACTGGCACAAGATTTTCCTAGTATGCACAGAAAGACAAATGTCACAAATCTAACTCTATAAGCTAGAGAACTGGTCCTAATTTTTTAAACACGGTAAAGGAGATCAATGTACTGTGATAAGAAGGCAGGCAGGTATAGTTGTCGAAACTGTGGTCTCAACATAGCAACCTGGTTTAGTACAGCTAGGAGATAGCTTTTGCGATGCACACATTACCTCTTCAATGAGCTTCACAAGAGCAATATCTGAGTTCTCGCATTTTCCCTTCAGAAATTCATTCTCCTTCTTAAGATTCTTTATCACCGAAATCATCTGATGAAAACGATCATATGAGACTACTTCAGTCAACAACAACTGTTGACAAGTAAAGCAGATACAATGATATTGAACATTACGTAGAGCATACCTTTTCCATCTCCTGCTTGTAAGTTTCAAAGACTTCATTGCTTTTTGACAGGGCATCCTGATAAAGGTATAACCAAAAAAAGGATTAAAGCGCTTCAAAAGACATCCCGTGCTCAAACTTTTAAACCTTCACCTACAAGGGCAAAAATGGCCACTACTAAAGCGGGTAAAGTGCACGAGTAGTTTTACATTTTTCGTTGGGTTTCATATCTAACCTACACCAACTTGATTTGGACCAAAGCCACGTGTTGTCATTATCATCGTCAGTTCGTCACCTATTGGGGGACCATTTGGAACCTGGAAATGGTCTTAGAAGTGAAAGTACCTGAAAGTGTTGAAATCTTTCTCCATCAGAAGCTAGTTGCAACCGCAGGTTCTTCTCAGTAGTCATAAGCTGAGAAACTTGCTCAGCATACAACTGCATTTGGGTATGTTCCTGAGCAGCCTTCTCTTGATGTTGTTGAAGTCTCAGATCAGCAAGCTCAAGCTCCAGCATTTTCTCTTTCAACTATACATGCCATAACAAGTTAACCAAGAGCACAACAAATAGCATTTAAAACTAGTAAGAACAATATTGTCATACAAATATCAATGAGACTTCAAGATCTATTAATACATAGGATATAGATAGCATACTTGGTGAGCATATTTCTGCTGAGTAATGTCATATTGATCAGCAAGGTCTTTGAGTTTACTTCTCAACCTACAAAAGCAACAAGTGTCAGTGTACCGGACTAGAAATGTCAGAAGGCAACGAGTTGCTACCAAAATCAACTAATGGAACTCCTAATATTCAAGATATGAATAAGGTTAGTAAAATTACATATTGTTCTCTTCTAGCTGAGCAATGGACAAAACTCTCTGCTCCTCAAGCTTGGCACTGACACCCTACAAAAATATCATGAAAATTTGATAAATAAGAGCTAAAACTTAGACATACAAGCAAAAAAGAATGAAGGAACTTGTATATGTTTATCATATATCATAACCAGATGATGTATTTTGAGCTGTCAACCTTTATGGCGTTATCAAATTTTTCAGACAATTCCATACGCATGTTCTGTCCCTCCGTCGATACCCTTCCGCACTCTTCCTGAGACAAAGATGCTAAAATGGTATAATAATTGAACAAAAATGAAAAGAACTCTTTTATACCGCTTTGATTCAAAGTTCAAATACACTGAACATACCTTTAGCATTTTGTTTTGACGCTGAAATTCCCTACAAAGAGATTCTAGTCTTTCTTTGACTGCAATGGCTGCAAGGACCCAAATTTAAATGACAAATGTTAAGTAGATGAATTCCATGAGCGCAATGTGCACACACCAGTTCATATGCAACAATCAAACTACACATAATTTTTAGCGACACTGGATTATCTATGCTACTAAGAAGTTTTAATTAACATCTTAATACATGGACATACAGGGTCATCCATTCGACCAAAGAAACACACATGTTTTGTCAGCGAAGATATAAAGAAGAATCACAAAGGGAGGCATGCACTCATTAAATTCAACTGTACAACGATCATATATTCAAGTAATAAACTAACCTGCATCCCTTTCTGCAACCACTCTGTGGTATTGCTGGGCCAGTTCAAACAACTCTCTGTCCTTCTCGAGCTTGCTACGCTTCACGACCTTTCGTTTCGGCTCGCCGCTCCCCTACAAAAGCAAGTAAATCAATCCCAGTTCACAAAGACAAATTCTTCTTGCAAACGTTTATATGATATTATGTGATAAACAATCTTGACCACCTTTTGAGCAGTTGGAGCGCCCACTTGCTCTGATGCACAGTTCTCCTTCAAGGATTCTTCACCTGTCAAAAGGAACAGCAAAACATGGTAAGGAAACACAGCCCCTAAGGTACATTTGGAGCTCAAACTCCACCGTGATGAAAATCTTAATTTTTCTATGTTTACACTGAACCGCTAGAGGAATGGCTACCGTTCAGAAATAGTAACTAGGATCAGGAAGCTAATGGTGAATGAAAAAATAAAATCGAGAGAGGACTACAGAGGATCACCTCTTGAAGCGCCGGCGGGTCCGTGCTCCCCTAGAGCGCGTTCCGGCTCCGCAGCAGCGGCCAGAGAAAGTGTGCCCAAGGCTTCAGCAGCGGCGGCCGAGGAGGCAGACGCAGGAAGGGAGGGATCGCTTAGGGTTTCCTCACCGCCGGGGTTGGTGGCGGCCGGGCTATCGGAGTCGAGCGCATCATCAGCGATGGGCGCGGAGGAGGGAGAAGCGGCGTCCGTGCCTGAGCTCTCGACGTCGGGGACGAAGCCGTCGGGGAGGGAGTTAGCCTCCGGGAGGCGCGTCACCGGCGAGCCTTCCATTGCGCGTGTGCCACTGCGATGCTCTCCTTTCTCTCTTTTTTTAGGGTTTATTATGGGGAGAAAATGGAGAAAGAGTGCTGGGAATGGGATACGAGGAGAGGGCGCGATGCGGCTTGTTCAGATCCCCGCGAGCATGGAGGCCGCGGCTAGCTCGCCTGTGCTGCGAGGTGGACGCCGGTGCCGCTGCCTGCCTCGCTGAGCAGAAGCTGCTCGCCACCGCCTCGCCCTCCCTTTCCCCGAATTCTCTGTTCTTCGGGAGGTTTTGGGGGAAGGAGTGTCTGGGGGTTGCAAGCAGTGAGCCTGATGCGTAACGCGAAGGCTAGGGTCAGTCCATTGCACGCACAAATGAATTCTTTTGAAATATAATCCTAGACTCCTACAATTATCACCTCCCTCCATTTCAAACCAAAACATATTTGTGACAAAACATTTCTTCAGCGAATTGAACTTTGAATAGACCGAACAAGATTCAGGGTCAGGGATGGAGACATGGAGTCATAGAACTCATTAGCTACAATTAGTCTGATGCTACCCGTTAGCCTGTCCTAAACGTCACATGAGACGGCGCTGCGTCGAGCCAGAGTTTTGCTGCGTCGAACTAGTAGTGTTGATAGTGTACGACGGAGGTATTTCCTCAAGAAAGGTGATCAAATAGAGCAGAGGTCTGAGTGTGAGAGTGTCTAACGTCTGTGAGGACTCGCTGCTTGCTCAGTTCAACAAATATACATAGGAAGATTCTAAGTTTACATGTTCAACCACCGACTTGCTGAGCTGTAGCACGGCGTTCCTCCCGTGTCTGTAGAATTTGTGGAAGAGGAGCGGTAATTTTTACCATCTGCATAGCCGGCCATGGTAAGCGCAGAGTCAATACAAGGAACGGAGTAGTAGTTACAATAATGCCTATTAAAAATATCACAAACTACATTTAGTTTCTATTAATAAAGCTAAACCTATAGTAAAAAATCATTATATTTATTGCTTCTTAATCGAATGAGAGTTCATTTTGCTGGTTCAATTATAGGGGTTCCTACCTTCTGTTAGATCCGCACTCTGCAGTAAAAGCAGTTTACAACAAGAGTAATATCTTTACTTTTTGCCTCCCTCGAATACATATAAGAGATGTGTATCATTTCATTGAAGAAGAGGAACCTTTTTTAGGGAGCTATTATTATCGAACCAGTCCAAGATTCAGTTTTTTTAATTGACCTCCTGTCATCACCTTTTTAGACCTTAGCATGACAGTGCTATATATTATCTTATGGACAACAATAGTGCAGACTATATAAGTTCATGTCCAATTCAACCCATGCATTTTAATTGTTGTCAGAAAAAAAACATGCATTTTATTTAGTGCCTCGGGAAGACAGGTTGATAATACCTGCCCCAGATTAGATATACGTTTAATCACCTTATTGGTTGTTGGGTGGCAAAGAACCAGCCAATGTGCATGTAGGTGATACCCGCAGTCTCCAGGAACAGGTTGCAAAGGTCTCTCATAACCTCTAATAAGAGCAAGAAAGGTCAGTTAAACTAAATACAAGAAGCATACAAAGAGGTATCTCAATGGAAACGAGAGATGAAACAATTACCCATCAGATGCAAAAGAACTATCTGTGCCAGTAGATTCTGGCTCAACAAATTTGGGGTGCCCGCCAATACCATAGAGAGGATCATCTGTTGGTGCATACAAAAAAATATACATGAGTTTAAATTACAGCTGTTAGAAATTTATGTTTGAGTTAGATAGTAGGGCCGCCTACCATTACTTAAAAAAAGACGTTTACTGATAAATACAAAAGTATTTCATTCCTGGGTGTGAAGATGAGTTTTGCCAAGTGCATTAATTAAATAAGTAACTCAAGAAATGAATTTTTAAGTAGAGTGAGCGAGGCACTTGCCTACAAGAGGGTGCCCAATGTATGCAAGGTGTATCCGTATTTGGTGAGGTCGTCCTGAATGAATTTCAATCTACATCAATGAAGAAAAGGAAACATCAAAGATTAAAATGCCCAAGGCAGCAAACGAAAACTTGCCAGCATACATACTCGCAATTAAAAGCAGATGATGCTATGCACATTTGTGAACATGTAAGAACAGGAGCTAAAACATATATCCTGTTTACAGTCAAGAGTCAACACATGCTACCTGGACCAGTGTGTGATTTTGGTGTGCAAGTCTCTCAAGAACACATACTTTGCTCATTGCTGGCTTTCCTGAAAATCGATGGCACAAGATAACATAACAAACAAAGAGAACCAATGATCAAAATTTACTCAATATGAATTATATCAACAGTACTGTGATTACCCGACCCCCAAGGACCTTCACCAATTCCAAGTTACAGTATTACAATTGCAATACCTGAGGAACATGCCGCATAAAGTCCCTCTGCAACTCCAGGATAATGAACTAACCCTATGGGTTGCGTAACCACAACCTACATGTGTGATAAAAATAAATTACATGAGAGAGAGAGAGAGAGAGAGAGAGAGAGAGATCATGCATACAATACAAGATTATAAATAGGTATGCAAGACTGAGGGAAAAACAGGGGGTCATAACCTGAACAGCATATAAGAGATCAGATCAGCGTATCAAATAAGTAAGGGATAGTACCTCATCATCATCAAGTATGCCAGTCACTAAGGCTCGATAAAATTTTGAAATTTTTCGCTCTTCACTGAACTCTGATTTATCCCTATAAATCATCTCAATCACTTGAACTGCATACATGATGTGAATACTTGAAAAAAAACTTTTAAAATTAATGAGAAGTTTTTACACCTTTTCTTTGCAGCATTTATAGCACCTTCAGCAAAATAAGATGCAAGTCGAACTTTGGCAACCTTTGTCTTGGCACAAAGCAGGAGGCCTAGCAAAATAATATACAAGTCAGCATCAGCTAGCAAGAACAGACATTATAAACTAAAACAAAACTACAAGCAAAGCAAATTCTCCTCTAATACAATGAGGCGCAGCTCTCCTGCTTGTTCTAGGAAAACAAGCAAAGAAAATTACAGATGAGCTTATACTGAATGACCAGCTTTGGCTAAACAACATTTTTTTTTGGCAATACACATTATTGCAGAAAACGGTTGGTTACCAGTGGAACAAACATGCACACCTTTCTGTCTAAACAAGTGGAAACTCACCTTGTAGTGGAAATGTGGATCATGGAAACCAGCATCCTAGGTCATCTAATCAAGGATCATGCCTCCCACGATCCCCCCCACCCCACCCAACCCACTCAGCAACCACAAACACATGCAGCTCTTGGAACCAGCATGACCTGAGCATCGGTATTATCTCGCACATGGGTTCCCACAGTCAACCATGGCTATAATCACTCCTCTCTCCACCTTGTCCCTGTTACACATCATAGTTACCTAAAAATATCTCATCACCATGTTCATGGTTCCCATGTGCCATGACTTGAACTTCCTTCATATTACTTGATGGTTACATCAGCTTTTTGGAGCAACTAAGGTATCTTTCTCCTAGATTCTTATGTTCATGCAGAAGCTACAAAAACATACACCTGCTACCGCTAGACCTCAAGCACTGGCGGAGCCAAGGGGGGGCTGGCAGGGGCCATGGTCCCCCCCCCCCAATGTTTTACAACAACAAAAAATAGTAGTATGACTTAATATTTTTTATTTATATTAAGAGGGAGATTATATAAAATTCTTGTCATATATACCTATTAATATCTTCTAGATAATATAATTATACAAAACACAACTAGATAATAAAATTATCGCAATGAAAAAGACCGAGCCGCCCCCCTAAGTATAATTCCCGACGGCCCCGAGTAGTATAAATCTGGCTCCCAATGACCCTCAAGTGAGTGTCGGTGAACCAGAGTTTCGAGGAGTGATGTCAAGGACGCGTCAGTCCGAGACTAGCAGAGACCCGGCTCACGGAGTTCGTGAGTCATGATCCATGGTAGCTGGGCGAGGTTTTGCCCCTCAACTCCAGTCGGTTTGGAGGAAGAAGAAGAGAGATTAGGTAATAATTCTTGCTTGATTCTTATTCATCCTGATGATTCTCATATATAGGCCATTCGGCACTACAAATTGGAGCTAATTGCTCCTAATTCTAAGGCCTTGATCGGCTATTATTTCTTTCTAGCTACTTGCCATTTCTTCCTGACCTGTATGCCTGGAGATCACGCCATATCTTCAGCTGGCGCGCCTGCCTGCATGGTGACCGCGCCCAGATCCTCAGTGGCTCTGCGGCCATCCCGGGCGTGCCGTTTCCTTGTATAGGCGTGGCCTCACATGACATCTCTCCCCCCCTCGACGAGCAGCTCGTCCTCGAGCTGGAATGCAGGGTACTTGTGGAGGAAGGAGTCCACATCTTCCCAGGTTGCAGAGGCCGCGGTTTCTCCCTTCCATTGGATGAGCACCTGTCGAACGCCGCGAGCCAGGCGGATACGCACTGCCCGTTCGGGCTCTGGAACAGCGGCGCCGTTGTGGATGACCGGAAGAGGTGGCGGTGTAGCGGGCGGATCACCGATGAACTTCTTGAGGAGGCCGATGTGGAAGACGTCGTGCAGCCTAGTGTGCGGAGGCAAGGCGAGGCGCACGGCAACCTCATTGATGAGCTCGGTGACGCGGTACGGCCCGAAGAAGCGAGGCTTCAGCTTCCTTGTGGTCGCCTGGGGCAGGGAAGCGGCCGGGCGATGGCGTAGACGGAGTAAAACCCAGTCGCCCACCGCGTAGGAGACTTGCCGGTGCAGCTTGTCGTAGTGCAGCTTTTGTACCGCCTGGGCTTGTTCAAGCCGGTAGCGGACGTCCTCCAGAAACTCGTCGCGGTCTGCCATGCTCTTGGCGACGGCAGCGACACGAGTCTCACCCGGCTCATAGGACCGAATGGTAGTCGGGTCGCGGCCGTAGACCACCCGGAACGGCGTGTCGCGGAGCGAAGTTTGATAGGCCGTGTTGTAGATGTATTTCGCCCATTGCAGCCAGCGAAGCCACTGACGGGGCCGGTCGCCGGTGAAGCAGCGTAGGTACATGACAATGACGCGGTTGGCTGCCTCCGTCTGACCATCCGATTGCGGATGAAAAGCCGTTGTCATGTGCAGCTTGGCGCCCATGAGGCGCATTAGCTCCCTCCAGAACTTGGAGGTGAACACCGGATCGCGGTCGGACACCATCGACTGAGGCATGCCATGGTGTCGAACAATGTCGGTGAAGAAAGCCTGGGCCATGGACTCTGCAGAATACAGGTGAGCCAGGGGAATGAAGTGGCAATACTTGCTGAAACGATCCACCACTGTCAGTATGACAGATTTCCCCCCGACGCGCGGCAACGCCTCCACGAAGTCCAGACCGATGTCGGTCTAGACCGCCTTCGGGACCGGCAGCGGCATGAGCAGGCCAGCCGGATGAAGATGTTCCGATTTGTATCGCTGGCAGGTGGAGAAGCTCGGACGTAGTCCTGGACCATGCGACGCATGTTGGGGAAGTGGAAGTCGCGGCGGAGGCGGTGCACGGTTCGCTGCACACCCTCGTGGCCATCCTCGTGCACGGCGGTCATGATTTCCGGCAGTAGTGGTGACGTTGGCGGAACGTAGAGGCGGGAATCATAGGACACCATGCCGTCGATGAGGGACCACGGCGCCGCCCGGGTGCCTGCAGTGATCTCGTCCCTAATGGCGACGAGGGCCGGATCGGTGTCCTGAACCTGGCGGAGGCGCTCGATGTAGTTGAACCGAGGCGCGGAGATGGCGAGGACAGTACCCTCTTCAGTGTCGCGGCGCGAGAGGGCGTCAGCCACCATGTTCGTAGCGCCGGGCTTGTACTCAACGGTGAAGTCCAACCCGAGGAGCTTGCCGACCCAATGATGCTGTGGGATCGTCGCGAGGCGCTGGTCGAGGAGAAATTTGAGGCTGTAGTGGTCCGTGCGCACCAGGAAGCGGCGTCCCCAGAGATACGGACGTCAATGACGGATGGCGTGGACGAGGCCGATCAGTTCCCGTTCGTAGGCGACGAGGGAACGGTGTCGCGGCACGATGGGCCAGCTGAAGTAGGCGATCGGGTGCTTCTCCTGGATGAGCACTGCCCCGAACCCGTGGGTCGACGCATCGCACTCGACGACGAACGGCTTGTCGAAATCCGGCAGGGACAGAACCGGAGCCGAGGTGACCGCGGCTTTGAGGGCTTGGAATGCCGCGGTGGCGTCGGGTGTCCAGCAGAACCCTTCCTTCTTTAACAGCGCCGTGAGGGGAGCCGCAATGGTGCCGTAGTCGTGGACGAACTTGCGGTAGTACCCCGCCAAGCCAAGGAAGCCCCAGTCTTTGACGCCAGCCGCGGGTCAGGGCCGATCCGGACCGCTTTGCACCTTGGGGATCCATGGCGACGCCGGCCTCGGTGATGACGTGCCCCAGGTAGGAGATGGAGGCGACCCCAAAAGCGCACTTAGAACGCTTGACGAAGAGCCGGTGTTGATGCAGCACGATGAGGACGGCACGGAGGTGTCGGAGATGATCCGCCCAAGATGAGATGTAGATGAGGATGTCATAAAAAAACACGAGCACAAACCGGCGAAGGAAAGGGCGCAGGACGTCGTTCATCAGTGCTTGGAACGTGGCCGGAGCGTTGCACAGTCCGAACGGCATCACCAGAAACTCGTACAGCCCGTCGTGTGTGCGGAACGCCGTCTTGGCGATGTTGGCGGGGCACATGCGGACCTGGTGGTAGCCCGAGCGAAGGTCCAGCTTGGTGAAGAACTTGGCGCCGTAGAGTTCGTCCAGCAACTCATCAACCACCGGGATGGGACAAGCATCCTTGACGGTGATCGCGTTCAAGGCGCGGTAATCGACGCAGAAACGCCACGACCCGTCGGCCTTCTTGACGAGGAGGACCGGGGAAGAGAAGGCCGAGGAGCTCCGGCGGATGAGTCCCTGGTCCAGCATGGCGGCGCATTGCCGCTCCAGCTCGTCCTTGTGCGTCGTCGGGTACCGGTAGGGGCGGACCGCCACGGGCTGCGATCCTGGCATGAGGATGATGTTGTGGTCTCGGCTGCGAGGAGGAGGCAGCCCGTGGGGCCCGGCGAAGACATCGGAGGAGTCGAGGAGCTCGTCCAGCAGGGTGGCGCTGGCAGTAGTTGCGCGGAGGCCGGGTGCGGTAGGGCCTGCCATCCCGTGCCAGCAGACGTCACGCGCATTCCGCTTGAATGTCATCGTCCGCGCGAAAATCCCGAAGAGATCGGCCCAATGACGCGAAACCATCACTGCGTCTTGAGGACCACGTCGTAGCCGGCGAGAGGCATGACGAACAGGTCTGCGGCGAAGGTGTCACCGCTGATGGTGAGCGCGGCCTGGCGGATGACGCCCAGGCAGGAGACGCGCTCGCCGTTGGCCACCGTGGCCGTCAGGTGAGGGCGGTGCTGCAGAGGAAGTCCTGTGCGCTGTGCGGCCGCCTCGGAGATGAAATTGTGGGTCGATCCGGAGTCGAGGAGGGCGATGAGGGACGTGTCGCCCAGCGCGACCTGGATTTGCATCGTGTCGCTGAAGTGGACGCCGGCGATGGCGTGGAGCGAGAAGTGGGGGCTCGTCTCGGTGGCGCCCTCTTCAACATCCTCGTCGTCCTCCACAACGCCCTCCAGCAAGAAAAGGCGCTTGCAGACCCAGTTGTGCCCCCGGCCGAACTTCTCGTCGCAATTGTAGCAGAGGCCCAAGCGACGGCGTTCCTCCTGCTCGGCCTGGGTGAGGCGCTTGACCGGCCGGCCCTCCACGGTGACTGTGGCTGGGGCGGTCAAAGTGTTCATGGGCGGCGCCGGCAGAGCAAGACGCGGTGCGGGCGCCGATAAAAGTGCTCGGGGCGCCGCGCGAGGTGGAGGCGCCTTGTACTGCTCCCGCAGTTCGAGCTTGCGCGCCAAGCTCATAGCTCCGGCGAGGGAGTGCGGATTATGCACCTCGACGTCGAAGCTGAGCGGCGGTTGGAGGCCCGCGGTGAAGAGTTGGACCCGTTGTTCCTCGTCCAAGCGGCCCGCGCGAGGGAGGAGCGCTTGGAAGCGATCCTGGTACTCCACGACGGTGCCCGTGCGCTTGCACGCCGCCAATTCGTCGAGCGGGTTTCGAGCGCAGAGGAGGTCCGTAGCACAAGTGCAGCAAGTCCTTGAAGCGGCGCCACGACGGAATTCCCTCGTCCTGCTGTATCTGGATGTACCACATCTGGGCACCTTCCTCCAAATTGTAGGAGGCCATCCAAACCTTCTCCTCCTCCATGATGCGCTGCTGGTGGAAGTAGGATTCGCAGCGGTTAATGAAGATGAGCGGATCGGATTTGCCGTCATACCGCGGAAAATCCAATTTCTAGAATCGTGGCGGCCGGTCCTGGTGGTGCTCCCCTGTGGCGGACTTGTTGCCGGAGGAAGACGACGTCGGCTGGGCAGCGTTCAGGCGTTGGATCGCCTGAGAG